CAGACGAGACCTGCCCTCGCCGCCGCGCCTGACGGTTGAGGGGCCGGGGCGTGCTCAGCCACGGAGCGACGCGCGCGCCGGCGGGGGGGGGTGCGCTGCCGCGGCCGCGCGGGAAGACGCCGCGGCGGCGGGCGGGGTGGCGGGATGGCGGCTGCTCACGGGCGAGTCGAGGTCGAACGTCGCAAACCACTCATTCGACTTGCCGTCCTTGAGTCCGTTGGTGCGGTCGCCGATGACCGTGGCGCGCGCGAGGATCTTCTCGTACGTCGCCTCGTCGATCCGCCGGATCGACTCGGCCGCGTTGGACGCGATCTGGATCGGCCCGCCAAACGGGCGGTAGCGCGACGTCTTCTCAAAGACGCGCACGCGGCAGCCCAGATTCTGGAGCACGAGCGCGGTGCAGAGGCCGCCGATGCCGCCTCCGGCGATCACCACCTCGTACGGCCGCCCGTCGGGCCTGCCCGGCGCCTCTGCGGCAGGCTGCTGCTGCCGGCCGCTGCTGCTGCTGGCGCTCGCGCGCGGCGGCGCGGCCGCCACGAGCCGCGGCGACGCGGCTAGCCGAGTGGCGGTCGCGGGCGCCCGCGCCTGCGGCGCCACTTGGGCGAATGCAAGCGCGAGCGCCGCGAGCTGCTGCAGCATCGGTGCTCGCGCCGCCAGAGAATATGTGTAGCTCCGCGCGAGCTGCTCTGCCGCACTCTCTAGGAACCTGCCCTCATCAGCAGGAAAAGAAAACACGACCCGCAAGTAACCCCGACGACGACGGAAGACAGAGGACCTGGCTCGCTGTGAACGGGGACTCGCGTGTAGGGCGCGACCTCCGTAGTCAGCGTCCTCCCCCTGCTGTCTGTCAGCTCCCTGTCTAGATCTGTCAGCTGCTGGCGACGTGCGATGAAGCCGCTCATCCTGGTGCTCATCTTCTCGGTCTTCGAGTATCTCAGCGCGACCATCGACAACGGCTACGGCTATGTCAACGGCTACGCGATGGCGGTCGGCGGCGTCTCGTCTGTGCTCTCCTGCGGGCTCTTCGTGGCGTCGCTCCAGCCCTCGCGTCTGATGAAGATGGTCCTGTGCGCCCGGCACCGGAAGGTGGAGGACCACCGCGGGATTACCCGCACGGTCAAGACGCGATGGCCCGCAGGCGACGTGACATTGGAGAGACTGCTCGCCTTTGTGCTCTTTATGTGGTGGATGGTGGCGGCAGCTTTCCTCAAGTTTGACGGCCCAATGGCGGTCAAGTTTAACGGGTACCTCTCCACGTTTGGCGCGCTCTGGGCCGCCTCGCTCCACGTCGGCGAGACTGAGGTGCCGCCGCCGGCGCACCGGGGCCCTCCGCCGGACTCATCGCCGCAGCTTCTCTACTTTTTCTGCTGCGTCCTCACCCTCGATGAGGCGCTGGACACGTCCCTGGAGGAGGCTGCCGAGATGGTCCAGGAGAAGCTCGACGCGATGGGCGTGGGAGAGGAGGCGCAGGGGTACGCGGTGATGGCGGGCGACGAGGAGCTCGAGCAGGTCCTCGCCGTGGTCCTCTCGTCGATTGGCCTCTGCTACGCCGGTCCCGCGCACTCAGAGGAGACTGCGGAGAGCGTCGATGGCATGTCCACGTCCACGACACACGTCCAAGACACGCCCACGACCCCGACACGTCCCCGACACGTCCCCGACACGTCCCCGACACGTCCCCCCGCAGGCCTGCTGATGCTCGCCCCCGACACGATCATGCGGACCTGCCTCTCCCGCGCCATGGAGCAGGCGAGGCAGTCGGTGCGAGGTGGGAGACGGGGACGGGCCCACTCGTGCCTGACACGCCTCTCCCCCCCCGAGCAGATCCTAGCCGTCACGGTGCTCACTGCGGCGCTCGCGCTGGCTGGCGTCGGCACGTACCGCGGGCCCTTCCTCGAGGCGCAATCAACAGTACTAGTTGTGATGCTGCCACACACCCTCTTGTGTATCTTCGGACACGGCCCTTCCCCGAGAGGCTCCTTCGGCCGTCTACACGGGCATAGTGTGTCACACCCCGACTCTGTGGTGCTCTCCTCCGCCGCCCCTCAAAGGTCCCGTCGCGCGGCTTCTTCGCGGCGTGGCTCGGCGTCTCCGCCGCAGTCTCCGCCACCGGGCCGCACCTCCCGGAGGCGCGCGAGATGTAGCCGAGATGTAGCCGAGATGTAGCCGAGACCCCCCCCCCCTCC